TAAAATCTACRACCCATGTTGTTTCTGGACAGTTCAAATCTGTCTTCCCATGCAGGAGAGCTCCTATACGTGGCACCAAATCACTGCAAAACGATTCTTCTCCTGYGGGACAGCTGGCATTTAAAGGACTACTAGGCTGTAAAACCCTGATCTTTGATGTCTGGCTCAAATTGTAAATGCAGCCACTAAGATCATTTGCACTTGTTGCTGGAGTATCATAGCAAAGAATAAATGAGAATATTAAATGTTTCTGCTTCTTTATTTGGAGTCCATGAGCACCTAAGGACATGAACCCTTTCTCATTAAGTCTGGCAGATTTTAGTTGGATTTCTTCCCGCCGGGAGAAGCAGGTTTTTAAACTTCATGTTAATTAACTGCACACTTTGGACTTCTAAGTGAAAGAATTCAGTGAAGACCTGGTCCCAAAGCCCACACACATCTACGAGGGCCCTTAACTGCCTTCGATCACTTTTGGATGAAGTCCTGAGTAACAGCAATTCTCTAAATAGGTCAGCTTATTTGATGGAGAATATCAGCCAGGGAAGAATTTACATGCACTCATTTTGAAAGGGYTGATACGTACACATATTGTATAAAACTTTCTCAAAACTCATTGGATTTGACAGAGCCTATTTATTGAATGTATCTGAATTAAAAATCTATAGCTGCAATAGTAAAAAAAGATATAAAATCCTAATGGTTAAGACATGTTGTTGACCACAGAAAATATTCTTGGAGAATCAACTTTGTAATTCCAAGTAATTGAAAATACAGTGACACACCTTAGCACCAAAATGGAGCCCTTAAGATAATATTTTTATGCATGTAATAAAACTGGTTTTAATGGTGTTCTGTTACAGCACGGGTTTTTTGGCACTTGAATGCTTAACTGGGATAAATGGTCTGATCTGCATCATTCTCCAAGCATGCTGCATCATCAAAGCAAAAAGCATTTGAAATGTCCTTGGAGTGGAGCTTCCAAGACATTGAAATTGCACTGTAGCTCCACCAAATTCAAGCTGGTGCCCTGAAAAAGACTGAGAGAGGCTCTTTGGGTGACCAAATATTGAGTATGGTGGCTTAACAGTGTCTGGTTGGGCTTCCAAGTGCTGAGATAGATTTTGCTCCAAACCATATGACTTCTGACCACCAAGGATTGCAGGTTAAGGTCAAGGAATGGTGACTTTCCAGCTTAAGGCAAATAGGCTGTTTACCCACACTGAACTGTTACGTGTTTTAGGTATCCAACTTCCAGAGAAGTTTTGTAAATCCCAGCAGGCATCCAAACACCTCTGGCACTGTAGGTCAGGCTGTCTCGGCTAGGACATGCCTCTGATTGACAGATGCTTCATTCAAAACAGGTTGTGTAACCATTTGCCCTGATTTCAGCAAGTGCTGAGGGTGCAGAGCATTTCTAGGAGGTTCTCCACACCGCACAGGACTAGACTTTCAAGGGCTAACGTGTATGATTTACAGGTTGAGCTGCAGCCTCTGACATCCCTCTCAAAGCTAGGTAGGCTATGAGAAGTAAAAACAGTTAGGAATTTGGTCATCCTGCAGTTGAGAGAAAAAACAGTGTGGACAGCAGCTGTGTGTTTTTGAACTGGAAAGAAAAGAAGACTTTTGAACTCCAAAAGAGAATTTCTATTGTAAACAGGCGAGAAGCATCAATAACAAAAGGAAGATTGGGACAACCAGCAGGAAAGCACAGACACTGTTGTAAGCAAATGCGTTATTCTCATTTTACCTCCCAGGGCTTGCAACCTGGGAACTGGCTGGATTCTGCCTAAGCAAAGTGCCGAGGGGGTTTGAGAAGGCTGCAGGGACTTCTTCAGCCAGGCTGGGCAAAGGCTCAAAAGAAGCCATGTACCAAAGCATGATATGTTCAACCCTTGTGCTCCAGAGCACAAAGCTCCAGTAATGTCCATCCTTCATCCTATGCCTAAAGAGAGGCCAACAACAGATGCCTGCACATTTTTTTTTTGTGGGAGTGAAGCGGTCTGTGTGAATGTGCTGAAGCTCCACATCCAACATGACAAATGCAACTGCAGGACTGCTCCTCAGCCCTTGGTAACCGTGTGTTTAGCACTTCAGAGTAGTGGTTTTTTGCAGCTGGAAAATACAATAAACTTCACCCCTGTATGTGAACAGGTGGAAGAAGATGTAATTTCAACAACATTGCTGATGCATCTACACAACTGCATCAGCTCTGAATATAACCTATGCTAGACCAGAAACACTTGCAGTCTCTGACCATTCTACTTGCTGAAATGCTATTTCACCCTAACAAAAACTGTTTTTAAATGCCACTTTCGAGGTACATTACCCAAAACCTTGCAGATTTTCCAGAACTGAAGTGCAGGCAAAAGTAATCATTTCTCTCCGAACTCTGCTCCAGGTTTAAATGACAATCTGAGCACAGTATCCAATTAAACTATGTACAATCTATTCTCCATTTGCTTAAGAAACTGTCAAARACCTTCAGCTCCAGCTTTTCTGGAAGTCAACCAGTGCCAGAGCCAACATCTGCCCAATTCCCTTTTTCTCCCAATTCTGAAGACAGAAAAAAAAGTTATAAAGCATTTATCATCCAGCAGGTACAAGGTAATTTTACAAGAAAGACTTCAGGTTATCATCTTCTCCAAAAGGAACAGAGAGTGATAAATGACAAGACACTGAAGAACAGTAAATTGAAAGATGAGTGATGAGGAAAGAGAAACCCGAGGAAATAAAACAGCTGGTGCGGCCTAAAATTAAACTTTTTGTTTAATATGTGGGATTTTAATATGATTTAACTTCCCTGAACAGTCAGTAAAGACTCCCACGTGTTGACTTTCACACGTAACCCATACTCTGCTTGGCCAGCGTTAGGGATGGTCATTCTCAGAGTCTGCAGGTGTCYGCTCCCCGGCCGTGCTTCCATGAATACTTAGCTGCCATAGGAATATCTACAGTTACAAAGTTAATGGAGAAAACGCTGAAGTTCTTCCAGCACGTGCCAGGAAGCATTAATGTCTCTGACAAATCTGAGTGGCCATAAACTCTGAGGAACATGCGGGCAGGATTCTCAGAGAGAAGGGGACCTGRTAATAAAGGTTCAGTGCTGGGATGCTTAAAAAGGCAGATTCCCTTCCTTGAAAAGTTCTCATACTCCAGTTTTCCGGACAGCAGTCTTGCAGGAGCTATCTTCTGCTGGCAGACATTATGCCAGCCTTGGAAAGGCCTGGGCTGAAGCACAGAGGTCCTGGGAGATGCATCCTTATCTTCCTCAGCTGTACTCTTCTGTGCCAGGCAGAATCCTTGTGTCTTCAGTTGTTCCTACAAGGAGCAACATTTTAGGGATCCGAGAGGGAATCCAAGCAATTATCAAACCAAGTGCATGGGTGCAGTCCACTGCTGCTCTTCAGTAGGTAATCCAGCCTAAAACACAGGTTTTGAATGTCTGCACTGCTACAGACCTCTTTATCCCCGGCTTTTGGAGAAGTGGAGGAAACTTCTTTAGCGCAGAGGTGACCTTTTCTTCTCCTCCGATTCGAACTTCACACCAAGAAGCAGCAAACAGTCGAGCCCAGACCCAGTCCTGCTGATCTCCAACTTCAGAAAATTTCCATTGAAGTCTACAGGAGCGGGCCAAGCCTGCAGCAGTAGGATCCATCAAATTTCTCAGTGGTAAACCAGGAAAAATCACTGGAAGATGGATCATAAAGTCCCCAGTGATGTATGGCAGACATAGTCAATACTTCTTGCCTAACACATGCTCCAGGGCAGATTCAGATGCAGTCCAGGATTTTATTTCTTTCTGAGGCTTCCCATCTTTAATCTAGAAAATTTAAGGAGGAAACTGACAAAGGAAAAAGCTCCAGCTCTGGTCTGGTGTTTGGTCACTAGGTTATTTTGAGTCATAAGGATGATCTGATCTAGGTTTGCAGTCATCAGTTGGCAACTATTCAAAGTGTGGTTATCTGGCCATAAGCACAGCCATTCAAATTTAGGGCTAAGAGAGACATTTCTTTTATAAGAGCGCTTCCCTGGGTGGGTTTTGGCATCACAGCACTGTAAAGAAGAGCTATGCAAAATTTCCAGGGTAAATTTAAAACTCAARCTGAGTTCCTGAATGCCAGAAAAAGGGCTCTCTCCAGGGCTTAAAAACAAACCAAAACAACAAAAAACGAAAAGCAAAACAAAAGAAAACAAAAGCCTGCTGAAACCAGCAGTTTCCCAAGAAATGAGGATAAATCTTAACAAAAGTCACTCAGTTTGCTGTTTGAGAGAGAGATTCACTTGCACCTTAAAGCCAGAGCAAAATTCAGGCTTGGTCCCAAGTTTGTTTCTTGCTTTGTGGTGAACTTCACACTGACATGTTGCCACCAGCCTTTGCAGAGTGTCTGCGAGACTTGACACGTGTTCATAGAAGAAGGCATCATGCACCCCTGCAACATAGACTGAAATCCCGAGCCTGTTTAGATTAAGTCCCAGTTTAGCTGGGTTTTGTGACCGGAGAGGAGAAAAAAAGAGCCCACTGATCACTAAGATCAGATTTGCAGGAAACCCCAAGTAACACCGAAAATGGTCACTTACATTTCAATATGAAAGAAGTGTGTCAGAACTGGCTGAAAGGGTAGTTTTGTGCCCTAGACAAACCATCATCAGACGGAAATGTCTGACCGCTGTCCCTTGGGAAACTGCCTGCCACTGGTAGCCAAAGTTGGTTGGATTTGTTTAAAAACAARCAAACAAAAGCAATGACAAGCCATCTGATCCACAGCAACCTTAACACCTCAGTCCAGCAGATTAGCGAAGAAGAGATGCCAACAGCCTCTCAGTGTGCTTTGCAAATACAGAAAAATTAATTCAATTTCTTGCTAGTTTTTTTCTTTTTTCTTTTCTTTTCTTTTTTTTTTCTTTTTTCTTTTTTCTTTTTTTTTTTAAACAAGCTACTTCCCAGTGCTTCTGATTCCATGTGTTTTCAGAAAAAAAAAAAAAAGAGAGGAGTAAAAGAAGAGAGCCTCAAAGAAGCTGCAGTGTTCAAAAAAGAAAGGAGGAAAAAGGGAACAGACAGGAATGGAGAAGTGTAGTCAGTTGGCGTATTGTGCATAGAAAGCCACTTTCACTCGCTCAATCTGGTGACACAGCTTGATGGCCGGCCCAAGCTTCAGCTCCATGCACTCTTGCACCGTGGGCAGTGTCAGCAGCAGGAGGGCTTGGCCATCAATGTCCTGGAGAAAGGAGAAACAGTGATAGCAGCTTTGCTGGGGGACTCCAGAGGAGAGCAAGCAGAACTGGGGTGGAGAGGTGAGCAAAACTCAAACCTCCTCAAAACTAGACTTTTTTGTACATTACATTTTGTCCTCTGCCTTTTTCTTAATGAATCATTCCCATTTTTATGCTGCCCATTCCTTTGGGATGCCTGATGCCTTTTCAGAAGTTGTCTAAGATGTTTCCTTAGGTTCTCACTTGTTCCCCAGTTTGGRAAAAGCCACTCGGACTCTCAATTTCTGAACAAACACCATAGGCACCCTGAAGATCTGATCGGTTCTGTTTTACAGATGAGGAACTGAGGCAAAGGGAAGGTCACAGAGATCATGTCCAGATCCTCAGACCTAATTATGTCCCAAACTTCCTAAACCAGCACCACAGAAAAAAAAATAATTTTATGATGTATTTCTACTGGCTTTATGATCATCATCTTAASAGCTTGAGTGTAGTTGGCTGCAGCCTAATGGATCTTTCTATTTATGGACTTCATGGAGTTGCCTCTTTGCTTTCAAATTAATTAGTAATGGCCATTACTCATTACATAAATAATAGCTGCTGCTATACTTATCTTACACTTTAATGATAACTTGTACCAAACAACCACTATCTGTTGGTACACTGAGATGCTTATTTGATACGAGGTGGTTTTGTGGGACCTTAGCATGAGCAACAAAGTCTTAAAACTCCTCCTTTTCATAAGGATTTTGAGAAGTTTCTGCTCTCTCTGAGSATTTGCCAAATCTCTGACACCAATTTATGAAGTTTCCCTGCTTTCTCAGTTTCTGTGYTGTAGCTTGAAGTGGATGTGAAATCTGGTCATAATCTTCATCAATGCTCTGRGCTCAGCTAGCAATATAGTATGTCCTCTTTTTTTCTAACATGCAAATAAGCACCATGAAGATAAAGTGTTACACAAAGACATGTACCTGCTCCTGAAATATCTTGGCAAGCGGTGCACAGTCAGTCAGTTTGATAAACCTCACGACGTCAGTCACAGTCCACTCCAATGGATTACTGTCCAGGATAAGTTTCTCTTCCTCTTCTGCCTTCATTTCCTACAAAAAAAGCCAAAAGCTCACGTAAAGAAAACTACAGGACTGAGGACTACTCAAGCAGGAGCAGAGATGCTCTCCTCAACCTTGACATCCAAGGTCAATTAAGAGAAAATAATGYCATCAATTGGGCGTGAACAAGATGAGACTGTTGCCATACTCACTTCCTTGACTTGAGGGCACTTCTCTCCCTCGTTGTAGGAGAGAGGTTGGGTTTTCCGGCTCCTCCGAGCCCTCTCGGTGGGAGCGGGTCGGTCCGACTCGGTGCTGCTGCGCAGTGTGACGGCGCGACGCGGCCGGGCAGAGGGGACCTCGGCAGACGAGGTGTCCGTCTGATCATCACGGAGCTCAGAGCTGGTTTCCTCGCTCCCCGTCTCATCCTCCATTGCATCTGGCTCATCCTCTTCGCTTTCCTGCACATGGAGCACCAGAGACACAACATTCAGACCTGGAGATTAATACAATGATACATTGAGAGGTACCAGGTCAAACTGCATGCCCGAGCCTACATCAGCCCATGGTAACATTTATTTAACCGAATTACCTCTTTTTTACCACAGTGCTAAGTTGATTATCCCCTAGTTTAGATTTCTTACAAAACGGAAAAGTCGAAATACACAGTGGATAAATCCTTCTTTTGTTTCTAACAAAAGGTCAATGGAARTAACTCGACATGCATGAAACACTCCTCTGCTGTGCCCGCCCCTCAAACCTCATGGCATCACTGAGATGCACCCAAACGAGAAATGGAAACCACTGAAAGGATAAAGCAAAATTCAGGTTGTTCAAGGTGAAAGAAAATCAGAATCATGCTTGATTTTAAAGCTTTGTCTTGCTTCAAAGAATCAGGGGTGCCGTTCCTATTGAAAGGAAGGAAAGGTTGGTGTCTTTTAAAACCATTMAGATGTACAAGGGTATAGAGGGAACTGCTCAGCTGGCATTTCAGTACATTCCAGAATATAGAATTTCATTCAATTTTCCTGCTTCCCGCTCTTCCAGCTCCTGTTTTCAGCTTGAAGGCATGGCATAAATTTCCAGATAAAAGATATTATAACCAGAATCTTGTGATTTCTGTCACAGAGCGTGCAAACATACACRGTTTCCACAGGTCAGTGTATACTGAACTTTATCTACGTAAATTGCTCCAACAGTCTCAACAGACTTGCTCTAACAAAACCATAAGCACTCATCTATGGTACATACGAAAGCCTTAAAAGAGAGAATAGTTTTAGACCRAAATAGTAGAATCAGTTGAAAGAGTCAGTTGATGGTTAATTTTGTTTTAAAATGGGCTTATTTCAGTTCAAAATCTTTTGAAAGAGGTTTAACCCAAAGCAAAGAAAGCTGAGCTACACCGAAGCAAGGACTGACCCACGACGGTGCAAGCAAACAAGTGAGAGTAGCTTAAAAAGTCACCCTCCCCACAGCTGAAATAGAGGGAATTTAGGCAAACCTATTTTATTACACATTGCACAGAAGAGCAATCATCATCACTCAGTGGAGGAAAGGAAATCACACAAGAATTTGGTCATTATAATCATGTGAAAAACATCCTGGAAGGATCCACACAGAAGTGATTTAACTAAATCTGTTCCAGTTTGCACCTGGACATGCTGGACATGAATTCTTGCTGGAGCTGGGATCCTCTCATCTAACACCAAGTCTTGGTGAGACTGAAGCCTCAAATTCGGGATGCAAACCTTTTGCTCGATTTCTAAATCTTCTAGTGCTTCTGCTGTTTGGTGTTATGATGCTGAAATCTTACAAATATTGGAAAAAATAAGAGCTCTGTAAACTCTGATGACTTAAGGGATGTTACTKGTAATATTATAATACTTGGAGATTTTGGACATAGATCTCAGACCCTTAGCACAGGCTAAGTCCACAAAGTGTCCTCAAAACACCTACATGATCTTAGGAAAAGAGAGCTAAGGAAGGATTCAAAATGAGAGAGTGAAGTCTTGGGGTTTGCTGAGAGCTGCTTCAAAAGGGATATGTAGATTGGGGACAAAAAAAGTCCCGAGGGGTTTGCTCATTTATCAGCGCCTACCTCTGCCGAGCCTGCARCATTCAAATCGACAGCTGACGTCCTCCTTTTCTTCTGAACAAAGATGGATTTTCGCCTTTTCCTGCGTCTGGCTGGCTTGACATGCCCACTTTTTATGTTGTTATTTTCCCCAATTGGCGGCTTAATGATTTTTTTCCTCTTCCCATAATAATAAGCTGGAGAAATGAACGCAGAACATTCATTAAAAATTCTAGCCATCAAGAGAAGGAAACTTTATATTGCTTTTCTCTACTGATTAAATATTGCACTCTAGCTGCACTTTTACAGGGAACTTTAAAATACCTGAATTCAGAAAAAAAAAATATCCAGTTCAAATACAGGACCTCATCTTGGATTGGTGTGAAATGTCAGAGCTCTTATGTATACACAYTCATTGGTGATCAGTGAGGAGTTCTGAATTTAACCCTACTATGAGGCGTACTTAAGGAAAGTTTCCCCTAAGCTGAGGAACAATTTGGAAGGAAAGGGGTTTCTACATAATTCAGATTTGACCTTCAGCATGAGTTAAGTCTTAGGTATATTTTTTGTGGCTGATGGTTGCAGTACAAGGCAGGTGATTATGAATTCTCTATGTTTGGCCTGTGTATGGAGGACTGGGTTTTTACTGTCTTCAAATATTTCTCTGCCKAAGCTGAAATAACATTCAGGACATGGGAAATGAGAGTCCTCTGGCCTTATGCTAAGGGCTTGGTTTGGCTGCCATGTGAAATGTTCCACAGCATCCTCTGTGGTTGGCAGAGGTCAACCTACAGGAGCTCTAGGGAGCTCAGGCAGGTCAGGCTGGGTATTTAGAACATCCTTGGCACCCATGTGTAGCCAACTGAACCTTTTGCCAATAAAATCAGTCAAGTTTAAGACATGATTCCTCTAACCAAGCACATAGGCATCAACTTTSGGATAAGACAACCACAGTCTCAACTCTCCTGGCTGAGCTTCTTTAGCTCTCCATTCAATGGAGATGGAGTCTAGAGACCAGTTCAAGTGCAGACTCCTACAGAAATCCGTATCTGGCGATGAGAATCTGTCCCTGGGCCCATTTATCCTTTTGCCTTGGTACCGAACAGGATCAATTTCTCTTAAATCAATCTGTCTGGCTTCTTCCAAGCTGTGTGAGAGTTGAACAATACACACTTCCACTTTTGTGRCCTGCTAAAGAGCTAATTTATCTAACTTCAACAACAGAGAGTGTTCAGCACATGATTAACCTTAACATTTCTGAATAGATGGGCATGCGCTTAAATATTAAACTCTAGGTACATAGAGGTCAATGCTATCAAACTCCTTCTAGAAGCCTTGTCATTGTGACACTAGCGAGTAGGAGGAGAGGATTCACCTCACTTAATGCAGATGTGGTGGTTTACAACTCAGTGGCTGCTACAGGTTCCTGTTATATACCTTGTATTTTATCTTTACACACAAAGATAAGTCAACACTTCCAAAGCTGACTTTCAAATGGAAGACAAAAAGAATGACTCTCACACAGATATAACAGGTGGGACTGAGATGTACTGTTTTCTGAGAATGCCCATTTCTTGACAACTAGTAACAGAGCCCACGCTGACTTGGTCAGGACTAAATAAATCTTTTGGACATWTCTCATTTGGTGAGGTGACTCACACTCAGTATTAACACTTTAAACAACTTAAGTTCTGATTCTCAGCTAGCAAGCAACCAGCAGCTTTACAGCTAATGCTCACTGAGCTACCAGAAGTGTTACAGCTAATACTCACTGTACTTTGTTTTGGTATGAATGGAACAGTTCTCTGGGCAGACTTCGGCCACCAAGACAGGACTGAACAGGTTGGGGCAGCACTCCAGCTTTGCACAGACTCTTCTGCAGAAGTCTGCTACCTGGTCGGAAGTTCGCACAATCTTAACCGTTGCCCTGTATGTCTTCCCTCTGTACCTAGAAAAGAGTATAACAAGATTTCAGGTCATCAAACACGCCATGACATTCAATGACTCTGTATGCCTTCACTTACACATCTGGTTTTCTCCATTACCGTCTTTCTTGAGGCTGCTCTCCCATCATATCCTATATGTACAACAAACTGAGCACCAACTGACTTCAATAATCCAGATATTTTTTCATGGTGGGGGATTAGGAAGAAATAAGGGGAGATTCAGCTCTGGACTTTACCCAGCGAGCTGCCACCAGACTTGTCAATAGCTGCAAGGACCTTGGCTTTCTGTCCTCTGCTAGCGATGCACAAATATGCCATCTCCATACCATGAAATGCTTTAGCCTGGGCTATCCAARCTGGGTATAAGTATCTACTAAAACCGGGCTGTCTGCGATACAGGGATCAAATGACTTTACCCCATGAGATCAATGCAGTACAAAGCCCCAGAAACTAATCCRGAGTCTCTCGATGGTTAACTGGGCTGCAGAAACAGGCCCTAAAAACAGTGACTCCTGACAGGAATACTTAAGAGAGCTGCAGTGCAAGGSTTGTCTTGAAATTTGTTATCCATGTGCTACTAAAACATTTATTTTGGTGTACTATATGAAGTGTTTTGGAGCGATAAATGGCTGAGAGAGATACAGTTACATCCCTGCTGTAATACATTGGAGATGTGAACTCTGAAAAACCAATTATCCCCATAATTTATTAAACAGCAGCACCAAGCTATTGTAAACAGCGAGATAAGGTTTTTAAGAAAATCTCTTACGTGTCCCRAGGAATGCAACACAAGAGAAAATCATGCGGGTGCCTGGTGTTAAGGCATTATAAATGTGCTCAGAAGACAGAAAAGTAACACACAAAAGAAAACAGAGGGGGAGAGTGAAAAAGAGAGATTACTGGCTTGGAAAACATGAAAGACAAGTTGCAGTCGTCAGGAAAAATGGGAAAAATGCTAGTGCATTAAGATCCAATGCTTGCTATCAGGGAAGCAGTTGCTGAAAGTCCAATACAGAAGAAGAGGAGGAAGAGAATATAAAACAAGAGAGCCATGACCAGAGTTAAGAAATGCACAATCCTCCTTGGAACCCCTTCCCTACCTGAAGKTTTCACCAAGTTTTATGGTTTTACAGGGGTATATGGTTTATAGGGGTATTCCCAGAGGAACCCCGAGTCTGGTAACAGCCATTGCCAATCATCCTCAGCTTGAGCTGAACTCTCATCTCAATGCTAAACTCTCCAGAACCACAGTGGGTATCTCAGCACCAGGCTCTGGCACACCCAAACAGGATCCCAGGCCATGAAGTCAATCCTGGATTAATTAGTTAACTCATAAGCCAAGTCTCATGCAMCCCATCAGATCTTGTCAGATGACGCATAATAAAAAATGTGCCACTTCCATTAAGGAAAAGAGCACTGTTATCTCAACTTCCCATGAAAAAAAAATCTTCATAGATAGGCTGACTAAAGGAGCCATGACAAAACCTAATATGAAAAGAATGATTTCCACAGACAATTAAATATGCATCCTTATAAAGGCCTTATACTTCTTTTCAATACATTTGAAAGACAAAAGCGTCACTTCTGGAAAACCATCAGCTTCCCTCCAAAGCTCTCCACACTGAAAATTTATACATTATTGGGCAGCAGGAACATTTATACCTATAAGCCCACACTTAAYTTTAAATCTGCACGTGTCTTGATTTAACTTACATTTATATGTCCCTGTTCTGACTTTCACTACTAGGATGAAAAGACTACGTCTGGTCTTGCTTCCCTGCAAAAGCAATGCAATCAAATTGCCTCTTGATCTTCTTTCTTATAAGCCAAGCTGCCTGATAATATCAGATACCTCACTTTTTCTAACTTTATACTTCCTTTAGTGTTTGGCTATCCAGAAAAGTGTCAGTACTGACCACCAAAAAAGAAAAAAA